TCATAGGTGTCTTACTATTACTTTCATTTTAGCACTAGCTCCTCCTATGCTACATCGTGATTCTATGGTGGTATGTAGCGGAATGATGAGCGAGTACCAATAATAGCTCTATGTAGAAATAGAACGTGACTAGGTTCGACGGATCTAAGAGATCAAGAAGGAACACAAAGTAGAATACCAACTTCTCATGTAGGAGCTATAAAGGGCTCGCTAGGAGTAGTAGGAAGTGGCGCAATTTATGATCAATAGAGGAAGATGGTGCGAGCAACTATTACGCGAGATGCAAACCCATATTTACTAGCTTTCCCTCCTCCTAACCCCTTACTCAATAGTCGCCCTTTCTTCATCATACCCAGCAGCCTACCGGATGATGATGATGATCTCTCATATATACCACCTCAATTAGACTAGTTTTTTTTTTTATAGATATAAATTTTAATTATTTTCATACACTAGAACATATTTATATATATTAATTTAATTTTATATTATTTTTATTTTACAAAATAATATTTTACGTTATAATTTTATTTTTAATTGTTTACTACCATAATTAAACATTAAACCATTAACAACGAATCAAAAAAAAATTATATTTTTCTCATCAATGATCGATGAATCAATGACCAATTAACCACAAAAAGAAAGATTAAATTATATCAACTAATGACAAACAACTACAAAATCCATTACCGTATGACCGACCAATAGTGATGACTTTCAATCACCGATGGATAGCAAAAATTTCCATCGATATACTAACAAGCTATGGTTTAATGACCAAATTCTACGAAGGATTTTCATTTCTATATAGCAATAAAAGTAAAAACAACCTACTAGCGAGTATTATGACAAATATTAAAATTAAAATCAACTATTCATATTACATTAGGAGGAAAATACTTCAGTATAGCAATAATTTGTTTGTCACTAAGATTATGATGGATGGTAACTTTCTTCGTTAAAATTATTAGCAATAAGAGTTTTGCTTATAGTTTAATTTTTTTCACTATTACATCATCGAAGGAAAATAACGACAAAATATCAAGGTTTAGCAATGAAATTTTTTGTTGATAAAGGCTTTTTTTTTTTTTGTAGTGATAGTTCTTTGGGAGTTGTTTGTAATTTATAAGTTGATTCTATTTGTATGTTGTATTATGTTTGGTTTCCTCCTCGTTGTAGCTTGCATTTATAGGCCTTTTACTCTTCTATATTTTTTTATCGGGCCATGTTCTTCTACACTCTTTTATGTACCTTTCAAGTGCTTTATGTTTTCTTACAACTTTCCACTATATGTTATAGTTGTCTCATGTTTTTTTGTTATTGTCTTGATCGTGTCTTTTTGATTGCTAAATTCTCATTAAAACTCTATTGATTACGTTGTTCGTCTGGTTTGCTAGTTATTAGTATTACTATTCTTGAAGTTTGTTTAACAAAACTTAATCTTATTAAGAGCTCATAATCAATTATCTCTTTTAGAATTGTTGTCTTTGAAGTAGGTGTTGGGCTTCAAATCGGTTGGGTTTGGATAGGATATTTTGGCATTTAGGTATAGTTTTAGGAAGTAGATTGAATCTGGATTACGTATAGCCTGGACACTTCTCTTTTAATTTAGTGAGATATCCAATCTAATATAAATTTAGATATAACATTTCCTCTATATATATATTAGTCTTTCCAACGTGTGGAAAGAAATAATTATTTTGGTATTCAATTACTCTTTTTTGTAGTTCCTACCATATAACATGTACTTTGCATTTGTTCTCTCCATCTTCTATTTAGTTATTTTATAATTATCATATTTAAATATTATCTCAACACTTATCTTTATCACTTTGTAATTTTCATCGATTCACTCCTTTAAAGAAAAAGTCATTCTCTTTTCCCTAAATTCTAGTGTTTATTTATATTCTTGATTTTTGACATATTAATTTCTATTAATCTCCTACAATACATATGTTTTAAAAAAAATCTACTTCTAGTTCCTCTTTTAAACCCAAAGCTCAAATGTCTTTCTTTACTATTCAAATTATTTCTACTTCTACTTCGTAGCTGGACCTTCTTTCCAAATCAATCTCTTCTCACGACCCTCTATTGGTACAATCCTCTCTTTTATTAGCCTATCATGGGGTTTTTCGTGTAAATGTGCTTGAGCATTCTATTGTTGTTACCATGCCCATACTCCCGGTGCTTCAATTTTTTCATAGTTATAGCCACATAGATGTTGTTTGAAAGGCTCAAAGGTTATTGGAGAATTTAATTCTAGATGATAGGACTACGATGTTTTATAAAGTTAAGGTTGCTCATATATATTAATTAGAATCTTTTTTCCGAGTTACTTAAATGTCCTTCTAGGACATGGCTCGATAAAAAATCTAAAGTTCATTTCTTGTATTCTCCTTTGAAACATTATCCTCACATTTAGAAGAAATGAAAAACGATGAAGATTGTAGAACTTCTTCACCTATTCTTTGATTACACTCCCATCTCTAATCCTCCTCTTCTTGGTGCCATGATTACCACTATGGGATACAAATAATAATTGTGTCTATAATAGGAGGGGTCGTATGGGCATTATTTTAGAAGATGCAATGTCTCTTATAGGTTGTTCTTTGGTTGGTATTGCTCTTTGCAACTTTCTAGCCTCCGTCAATAATGATATAGCCGACAAGGCCTAATTTTCAAAAGTGATAGTGGACATTAAATCGTATGCCACCTATACACAAGCTTTTTTACTCTCATAAAATTGTAACAACATAAAGTCGGGATTTTACCTATTGTGGCCCTACGGGTATATGGTTTGTTGTAGGATTACCTTTGCGGTCTCTAAGTATTTATCATGGTCATTGCTATGTGTGTTTAAATTTAATAAAAATGTTGTTTTAGCTCCCTTGCTCCTTGCTTATGCTACAATTGTGTGTAGCAAGCCATTTCTTATTCCCTCTATTAAAATTCTAGGCACTTTGTGGCTAATTATGCTTTAGGCTACTACATATTTTTCTCATTTGATTTCTAGGTCTTTGTATTTTGATAAGAATATAGATTTTATGATATATGTTCATTATTTTAGTGGTTATTCCTCTTTTGTAAATTAACTTGGTAATAAGGAGTGTGTGACTAAAATCTATTTTAAAACTATTCCTTCAACCTTTTAGGTCCCTTTCTTTCTTAGAAAATACGATCTCGACTGGTACAGATTTGTACCAAGCTAAGTTGTCTTAGAATAGGAGAATTTAGATTACTCGAAATGGTTTTGACTCGCAAAAAAAAATCCCTTTATTTCTTGAGGATAGTTGTTTCGCTCGATCCTACTTTTCTAAATTTTTGCTACACAATTTGTAGACATTCTTATTCCCTTCCTTCCTCTCGCATAACTTTTCTAGGCATATTAAGAAAAATGAGATTTTAGATCCGGTGGGGAGAAATGTGATGGTTTACAAAGCGAGTTATCAACCTTTCCCAAATCGAGACAACCTCTATTTATACTAAGGCTTTCATATCTTGGTGGCTTAAGATTGCTTAAGAAGAGCAATTCCAAGGTTCAAGATGTTGAAGAATCTTTTTCTATTCTTAAGGGAAGTTTCAATAATTCGCTTTTAGAAAGTTCATGAAGTAATTCCTTAGTGTTAATTAAGACCAAGAATAGATTCCTTCATACCGAGGGAATAGAGAATGAAAAATTAAAGAAACCCCTAATAGGGTTGTCGGTGCAAAGACAAATACATAGAAGCCAAGAAAAGGTTTTCAAAGGTATATATATATTTGCAAAACATATTTTTTCTTGATTTATCCCTTAAATTTGTGGCCACTTACTCGATCTCTTAACTTTTGATCACAATCATCCCAAAATGTCAAACTCCTTCTTCTCGAGGGTCAAGGTTTGCTTAAGTATTGCTAAAAGAACTAGAAGTAACTAGTTTAGAGTCATTGCAATCTTATTTTACAAAGATTCATTCTAAAAAAAAATGTTGATGTTGACATTTTTCTTACGACTAACATATAGGTCCACTCTTAAACTTCTTTTGTTTAGGATTAAATAGTAAGGAGCACACCCCTTTACAAAGATATTCATCTTCACCCGGAAAAAGTTAAAAAGAAGTGATTTTTTAAAGATGAATCTGGTTTTGATGATGAGATTCCTCTTGTCATAACTACATTTTGATCGCCCTTATTTTATTTATAAAATTAAATTAAAAAAATCCAAAAAGAAACATATAAAAAAAAATTCATGCTTGCCTAATTTCTATGAATTGTTATAACTTTTAGATAGTTTTATAAATTTTTAGGTTTTCGAATATACTTGGCATTTTTTGTTATTATTTAGGAAAGATAGTGAAAAATAATAATAAATGTAAAAACATATATACAATAAAATTAAGAAAAGGAAAAGAAAAGAACAAAATAGGGGAATTTTACAATAAAAAGCCATATGAAAAATTCTAAAAGAAAAATAATTGATTGAAATTAGGACTATGGTTTTTCGAACAAAGTATACCTTATGATGTCTTTTACAAAGTTTGTATGGAATGTAGTTTTGGCGCAACGAGTCGAATACGTCCTTGTGTCCTTTAGGTAGTAGAACCTCTAATAGAGAGTCTAATGGAGTAGAACTTTTGGCTATCAATTTTTTTCTTAGAAAATAGTAGCTTCTCTTTGTATGCTAGGGTGTAGACTAAATTATTGAATTAGATTCAATTAATACAATTTATTAAATTAGCAAGCAAGCTGGTAATAGATCTTGGAAGTTACAACATGTGTTTATTATTTTCTTTTCCTTAGTTAGGAGTCTCAAATCTTTTTATAAAAAAAAAATTCTTATAGAAGGAAATAATTTGGCTGGTAACTTAGTTAATAATAATATTAATAAGTACGAAGAATTTTTTGCATGAGTATAATATTTTTGGCTTTGTTTTGCCGAACTTTAGCCATTTTTTGATTGGCTATTATGGAAAAATCAATTTTGATATAAATTATCTATTTAGACCTTACTCGTATAACCACTAATAGCCCTTCGAAACCTTAGCGATCGTGAAACCTAATTGTCGATGGTAACTTCTCCCTCGAGCTTCCATGGGGAGATCCCTCCACCCCACCTCTCCCAACCATCTAACTCCCACATACCTACGGTCCCTACCACCACACTCATTCACGTGACTAGCTCGGATCCCTATCGGGAAATGCTTCAAAAACACCACACTGCCATTAGCCATAAACAATACCTAAAAAAAAAAACCATAATGCCATCGACCTTAAATGCCACAATATCATATGCGAGAGATTGTAATAGATAAACATAATAACCTAAATATCATAGAGATGATTAAACCAATGTTAGTATCGGTTATACCGCTCATCATTCAACAAACCCTATAGGGTCTTATGCAACGACTACCATGTATCACTCTAAACCCCATCACAGTTTCCCCATATTGTCATTACTCCACAACCACCCTCTCACTTTAAAAGATAATCGACCGTGGTGTTCTCGGATGTAGACATGCAACAATCGAACAATCTTTTCTAGTTCTCTTTAGTGGCAAAATTCTCTAAGGGCGACCTCTTATCAATATCATTTGAGAGTATATACGAGCAACACTAGGAGTTGAAAGAATCACTAGTAGTTGGGCTCATTGTCACTAGACAAGTTTTGATACGATTATTTTGTAGAGAGGATCTAATCAAGACATGGACGCGGGACTTTCACCTCATAGGAAATTACTCCTTTCGATTGTTTAAATAGGACTCTTCCTTTAACATAAGAGTAAAATCTTCAACAACAATGGTTTAGTTGAAATTACCAAGTCTCTCAATCTTTTTCTTTCCTAAGGCATTACTACAAGAGATTGTACGACTCGTTGGGAATCTCTTGCATCCTAATGATAGAATCAAATAAGTTCTTATCCAATGCATGCTAGAGTATATGTTGAGATAGACCTTACGACCTCTAGTCCCTAAGTGTTTGGATATCGATTAGCAATGATAGTACCAAAGGATTCGATCGCCTATCATTATGGAATCTAATAACGCTTTTTGTAACGATTACGGAATGTAAGGACGTGTCACAAGTAATCGTTATAAACATCCCCCGATAAAGCACACATTGAACCATCAACGATAATGGAGTGACCGGATAGAGAAGTTAGAGCATTTCGGGATGGAGAAAAGATGGATCAATACCAAATAGAAAGCCTTCCAACGACGACTCTCAAGCAAGTTCAAACGAGTTACTACAATACCGATAAGGTAACTTGTCTATAAACCAACCATAAGAGGAAATAAATTATGGATACTAGAATGCATATACAGGAAGAAAGCTCTAGTTATAGAGAAAATAACACATCTTTTATTGAGGGGAACTCTCAAACGCCACACACTCTAGAGAAACGATTTATAAACATTAGTTAGTCAATATTCTAATGACTTGCCAATAGAGAAACAATTTAGGTCCAGAGGAATCATTGGAACTAAAGACACTAGGGGTAACATTGTCATGTAGAGAGGTGTGAAATCACATGCAAAAAAGGGAGATAGGCATGCAACACATACTTATATTATAAATGAGTCAATAAAAGAGGTTGGTTGGAGCTATGTTAGGAAAAACTACACCGAGACTTTTGTTACCATAATTAGTACCTATCCCTCCTTTCTATAGTCCTCTAATTCTAGCATTGCACAAATAGAGCGAGGAAGTAATTCAAGATCACAAGAAATCATAAGCGATTAAATAGGTAAATAGTACTCACAAAGGAAACGAGTGGCATATAGGAATTACGACAAAATTAATTACAAGTCATTGAGGAATATAGTAATAACGATAGTAGGGGGATTGATGTTACAATGGGTATAGAAGATAGAGATTTCTCATCAACTTTAAGGGGCTTATGAAGAGGGATAGTATTCGGAGACATACATGCAGTTAATAGTGGAACCAAGCTTAAAACCTTATGAGGAATCTAGCATTAATAAGCAAAGAACGGGGACAAGACATACTGAAGCCGCCACTACACCAGTGTTAGTTTCAAAAAATGGTGAGTCCTAAATTAGAGAACCGGATATAACGGTTTCAACGTAGAAAGATCGTGCGGCTCCTCTTCGATTGAGCATCATAAAGATCAAACAGCTAATACCCGAGTGTAAGATTATGTCCTTCATGCCAAAAATAATCATAAAGGTATCAACTTGTAATTCATTTAATGCTCTAGCTATCTTGAAGCAAGGTTTCAAGGATGATATTGAGCTACTTAGATCAACCATCGGTTTCTTTATCTCCACATACAATTTTAGAGGGTAGTTTTAAGTTTATAGCTACGCATCCCGAGGTTGTTGAAGTATTTCAAGATAAGATTTAGCGGTTAGAACGACAAGGAAGGGTGGTTTCAAAAAAAATAAAATAAGAAGATACTTAAGAGCCTTATATAGATCAATAGAGGTTTAGCTACTAGATCTAATGTAGCTCACAATGGGAAACCATTCTTCTATCTTCCTCTATGAATAGCTTGATATGGAACATTAGGGGTGTGGGTGCCACTTGAAAAAAGAGGTTTACGAAGGTTTTAATTATACAACATTAGATAACATTACTTATTATCTTAGAACCAGTAGCGACGGGGAGTTAAGTTATAAGCTCTTCGCAAAGTCTTTAAATTCCACGAGTTATGCTCATGGTCATCTAGTGAAAAAACACATTTGGCTTCTATGAAAGGAGCGATTAGAAATAAATGTTCAAGAGGTATGCACTCAAGCAATTATGGTTGGAGTTAAAGATAAACTTTCTCACAATTAGTTTTCATTCATAGTAGTCTATGCAAGTCGTCATAGGATAGAAAGAAGAGCTCTTTGGGATAATCTACAATCTTTATAGATTAATAGTCCTTGGATTATTGGTGGTGATTTCAACATGATTATGAACAACTCTAATAAAGTGAGGGGTAGTTCGACGGAGTTCGGACTCTCTGCTAGAATTCAATAATGCTATAAAGATTATGAGGCTTCGGGACATTAGATTTATGGGAAGTAATTTTACATGGTGCAATAATCAACAAGGCTTGGGAGTATATGGAAGCGTTTGGACGGGATATTGATCAACACGCCAGCGGTCTCAAATTTTCCATGACTTCAGTGCAAACACTTAGCTCGGTTACACTCAAACCATTATCCATTGTTACTAATTGAAGATAGGAGTAATAAAATGTTAGCTAGGTTCTCATTTAAGAAAATGTGAATGTCTCGTGAAGAGTTTCTTCCTTTTGTTGAGTCCCATTGGCACTCGATTTATAGCGACTCTCCTTTCCTCGACTTGTAACTAAAGCTCAAAGTTTTATGGAAGAAACTAAAGGCTTGGAATTGGAATGTTTTTAGGAATATAAACCGTCAACTAGATCATGCGAGGGACGAAGTGATCCATGCAGAAACCATGTTACAAAGAATTTTACAAAATCGATTATTGCCAAAGATACATAGGCCATGCTTATAAACAAAAAGGAACAAATGTTACAAGAGAAATCAAGAGTCAACTAGGTGATCATAATTTAGCTTTCTTTCATGTTTGTATTAGAAATAAAGCTATGAAATAAAAAATTATACTTACACCTGGAGAATGGTAATGATTGTATAAATGATAACGTGATTGGGCCTACAATAGTAGAGTATTTTCAGAATGTCTTGAAAAGTGAATCACATGATACTTTATTTTCTTTCCTTAATGAGATTCCGAGTTGGTTTACGATCAGCAAAATGCAACTTTCATGAGCATCCCTTAATTGGAAGAGATAAATGCAACGAGTATTTGGGATGGATGATTTGAGTGCACCGAGTCCGGATGGCTTCACGGGGACCTTCTTTAAAGTATATTGGGAAATCATAGCTAAGGATGTAGTTGCTTGCCATCTAAGAAGTTTTTCAAGGTGGAGATCCCGAAATGAGCCACTACTACCTCCATGGTTCTTATACCAAACTGTCAATCCTAAGAATTTCTCTAATATAAGACCCATTAGCCTTTGTAACTTCACCTACAAAATCCTCACTTGTATATTAAATGATAGATCAAGTGAAGTGCTTCCCTACCCGATTTCTAAAGGACAATCAAGTTTTGTTAAAGGGAGACCGATTCACGAAAATGTGGCACTTAAGTTGGAGATGTTTATAGAGATTGACGGAAGACTTTACGGGGGAATGTTATTCTAAAAGTGGACATAGCCAAAGTATATGATAGACTAGAATGGAATTTCTTTATGCAAGTGTTAAGGAGATTTGGCTTTTCCAAGAGTTGGTGTGAATTGATAAAAAAGTGTCTTTCTAATTATTGGTACATTATCAATATGAACTCCAAGTAATTTGGTTTCTTTAAATCAACTTATGGGATACGATAGGGGGATTCAATTTCTTCGACTTTATTCATTCTTGCACATGAACCTTTCAATAGACGAGTTAAATGGAAGGATAAGGTAGGGACGATTTCTCCATATTATACGAGCGAGTTGTAGCCTCGGTTTCTCATCTACTATTTACGGATGATACGTTATTATTACGTAAAGGTAGTAAAAGAAACTTGAAAAAAATAAACCTACTTTTACGGGAATATTCGACGGATAGTGGTTAATTGGTGAATCGAAAGGAAAAGCTCTTTTTTCGCAATGATAAGTCATATGTGGTAAGGAAATCTTTATTGGCGGCATGGACTTGGTTTTTCCTCTTATTCTCATGTAATAACTTATTTGGGTATGCCATTAAGGGTAGTTCTCGAATGGAATTCTTTATAGCATTGGAGAACAAAATCAAGGAAAAGATGGTTGGGTGGAAAAGCAAGTTCTCGTTTATAGGAGGTGACATAACCTTGATTCAATCGGTGCTCACTTTTAGCCCCATATATTGGATTCTAAAGATTTCACTGAATAGAATGCAAAGCTATATCTCTAATTTCTTATGGAATAACGAGAGGGAAACTAAATATCATTGGGTCAACTGGAAAACGACTTCACTTCCTATCCGGGAGAGGGTCTTGGTATTAAAAACTTACAAGAGATTATGCTTTTGATGAAAGGTAAACTAGCATTGTCATTTACGTCTAGCTCTTCTCATGGATTAAGTATATGAGAGCAAAGTATGATGATCCAAGGAATTTAAATAGTTTAACCAATAACAATAGGTCTTTGGTCTAGAAAGCACTATTGTCACATATTCTATATCTTAGGGAACACTCCATCTAGATTGTTGGGTCCGGTAAAATGAATATTTGGAAGAATAAATGGACGGATATTGAGCTTCTCACAATCTGTTGGAAATCTAGAAATAATGATAGAGCATGCCAAAACAAATCCAATAGTGTTCAACTCTCTTCCCGTCACTATATAATAGGAACTAGATCGTTTATGCTTAGACATAAACACGAAAGATAAGTTGTGTTATATAGGTTCAAACAATGGCAACTTTAACATAAAGGACTATCATAATGCAATAAGGGTTACTACTACGAGCTTTGCCTAGTGGAGGAGTCTCCGGAATTAATAGGTACCAAAAAATAGGTTTCTTTGTCCGGAAGCTTTTTCGTAATGCGATGGCGAGTGGGAGAGAATGTTAAGAAGTGTGGAATTCCTCCGGCTTAAAATGCCGAGTATTGTACCACACCAAATGTGAAAACTATAAACTAGTTTTTACATGGTGAGACAACTAGGCATTTATGGCTTATTTTGCAAACATTATGGATGCTCCAAAAGAGCTCAGGAACATTGAACACTTAGCATTACGTTGGTTTTGCAAAGGTAAAGTTTCCTCATAAAAATCTTTTTACAAAGATGGTTATTTGCAATCTGTATATTATGGGAATTATGGTTGGCAAGAAAAAATCAATATTTGAAGAAGAAAAAATATGTTGGTAAAAAATCAAACATAGAGTTCTTCTTTGGCTTCATGAACTTTCATGCATCTTTCATCCAAAAAAAGGCTCTTCTTTCCATGATAGGTTATGTCTTGGTACACTAGGTCTCACTCGACATCTCTAATCCCCAAGGCAAGAATCTAGTTAAAATGATTGTTCCCTCCCTCGGGCAAACTAAAATTAAACAAGGATAGGGCGTCAAGAAACAATCGAGTGTGCTTAGTGGTGGTTTAATTCGTGATGATAGAGGCAATCTTATTATGGCCTTCTCCTACTTTTTGGTTCATGAACTAACTCCATGGGGAGCCTTTAGCTTTCTTGGAAGGCCTAAAATTATGCAAGGAGTTTAATATTTTATATGATAGTGGAGGTTGATTCTTTCATGACTGCAGGCGGTATTACTCACATTGGTCTAAGTCCATGGCATCTCACTTACATTATTAGAAATGCAATACAATTATTTGGTCGGGGGTTCACATTTAACGTTGCTATCGAGAAAGTAATAGGGCTACAAATAGGTTGGTAGTTTGGGCTTTTTAGCATTATTCATGAAAGATACTTGTTCTCGATACATGATTTGCCTTTTATGTATAGAGTGGCTATTTTGGAGGATAGGACGGGTATGTTTAATCTTCGCGGATAGGTAACTTCGTTGTGTAACATAAGGAGCTTTCCTTACTTTATTTTAGGGATTTAGGTTTTCTTTTTTCCAATATGTTGGGATAGAATGAATTATCCCCCCTTATATGTTTTCATATTTTATTTATATATGCTCGAGGTACCGTCCACGGTTCTCAAAAACAAAAAAGATTGGCTATTGTCTTCTAATACACTTATCATATATCGTCGGGAAAAAAAAGGGGGGAAAAAGTGAAGCGTTACCACCACTGTATTACAAGATGAACTGGGCGGTGAGCCTATTTCTAACAACACAAACGATATGATGGCACTCGCATGCAAATGAGTAGCTCTTTGTGCTGCAAGGCCAAATGTCTCACTCATATCCAACTCCAAAGGCAGCATACCATTAGGGAGCTCCCAATCAAAGTAATGCACTAGCCGAGCTAGAACAAGTTTGACAATAGTTATGCCCGATGGCATTCCAGGGCACCTTCTACGACTCGAACCAAATGGAATAAGCCGAAAGTCATGCCCTCGAAGGTCTATATTCGTTTCCTTGAACCTTTCGGTAAAAACTCCTCCACGCTACCCGACCATGCATTGGGATCTCGACCAATTGCCCAAGCATTTATCATAATTCTAGAGTTCTTTGGTATGCAATACCCATCTATCGTGATTTCCTCCATAGACTCGTGTGGAACTAAAAATGGTGCGATTGGATGGAGCTCGTAGCTTTCTTTCATCACCATGTCCAAGTAAGTGAAATTTGGCAAATCTTTCTCCTCGACCATCCTATGCATTCCAACAACATTATCCAACTCTTTTTGAACGCATTTCATTATACGTGGATGCCTAAGAAGTTCGGAAAATGTCCATTCAATTGTTGTGGCGAAGTGTCCAGTGAACCTACAATCATGTCTATGATAATTGCCTTGACATTACTTCGATCAATCACAAATGCCTTCTCATCGGAGGAGTCGTTGCCATCGTTCAACAATGAAAGCAACACATCAACGAAATCTCTTGGCTTATCTTTTAGCCTACGAACATCTTGTTCATGCTCATCAATTATCTTCTCTAGGAGTTTGTCCATGGCCTTGCTAAATGCTTTCATTCTTTTTGTAAATCCTCGCATGCATTAATACGAGTTGTTAAAATATTAGAGCTCGTGGTTCCAATAAATAATTGGTAAATGAAAGTTAAACGTTTTGACAAGTAAGAGAATTATGCATGGATATATTAATTAATTAGGAGTACATTTCTATAACCCTTCTTAGCCATCACAAGATTTCATATGCATATCACTCAAAATTTTGAATATTTAACAAAAGCTTCTTTCATGTTAGAATAAAATATTAAATGAACCACCTTTTATATCCAAACTATAAAAATAAATAGGTTTACTTTATCGGTTATATATCTATAGACATGGTAATGGACCGGGTACAAAACGAGATACATACCCTACCTGACTCACCCATTAGTTACCTTCAAAAATATTCTAATGGGTAATGGATTAAATATGAATAAAATAGTATTATTCATTTATATTAATAGATATTTAATTCATGAATATGAGTATTTCTTTTTATCTTGTTAATACTCATCACTTATTCATTAATATATAAAAAAATACTAAAACACAATACATTAAAATAAACAAAATAAATGAAAAAGAAAGAAAGCAAACATAAATTTTATTTTTAAAACTAGATATAGATTTAGAAAATCATTAATTCAAATGTCATTTTATTATTTTTTTATTTGCATTTTTTTAAAAAAAACTCTTTATTAAAAATAGATCTATTATAAAATAAATTTTAATTAAAAAAACACTCGATTTATATAAAATAATAAATAGATAATTTGAGAACTCTAGCCAATCAATTTGCTACCTCTAATAACAATATTGAAATTTATAATTTGAAGCTTTTGAGTATGCATTATGGTAAAATGTGTAACAATTTTTTTTTTATCGGTTTACAAAAACATTCGAACTCAAATCTAATAGTAGAAAATGAGAATCACTAGAAATTTTATAATACTCAAGAAATAACTAGTAGTATATATAATAATTATTTCATGAACCCACTCCATGAGAGAGATAGATACAAACAAAAAGAGAGAGAAAATTAAAAAAAATAACCAAAAGTGAAAATCTACTTATCACTTTTAGTGGGTCCGGATATGATTTTTTATTTTTTCATGTGTCTATTGCTCTCCTTAAAAATTGATCAATGAAGTAACTATTACAACTATTGTGTATACTATTAGTTACTACTTAAGTATTACAAAATTTCTCTAAAGAAGGCTATTTCGCATTGTATAGCCCAAAGCCCATGGATGTATTGATGAATAGAAAATATTATTTCAAAAAAAAAAAAAATTAAATTAACAGAAAAATTAGAGAAAGGATATTGAGAATTGATAAATAGTTTTTGAGGGAAATTATTACCATTTGTTTTTCAAATAATAATAATAATAATAATAATAATAATGCCATTTCTTTTAATATACTTACTCTAATTTTTTTAAGCTTTAAAATTGGACTACAATATTTAAATAGATATTAATGATTTTTTTTTATATATACAAAAGACAATTATCGTTAAAACTTCAAACCTTTTGATATTCTTTATAATTTTATAATTATACTTCATAGATATTATTATAGTATACCCTCGTGTCAATTGCTTTATTTAAAATACAGAATTGAGAAATTGGAAATACTAAGAAGTTCGAATATTCAATAGAAATTAATGTCATTAATCCATATGGGTTGAATTCAAAAAATATGATAAATTTTTATTGTAATTTTATTTTACCTGAATATCAAATGCGCCGAAGAAAGGGATATAGTCCGCTATGTTGAAAGCTCCTGCCAAGAGCACGCACTCCTTAACAAGAGACCTTAAGTCGATTTCATCATCGTTGCTTTCTCCAAAAAGCATCCTATAAGTCATGTTTTGAATTAGGTTGCCAACCGCCGTGCTGACATTCACCACCTCATGCGCCGCCGCAGCTTTCTTTATTGAGTCTACACACAATCCTACCTCTTCTCTCCTTGATGGTGCAAAGAACTCAATCTTTGATGAATTGAGAACGTGTGATGTGCACAATTTCTTAACGTTGCGCCAATAAGGTCCATACTCTGTAAAAGCCATGCCCTTTGTACCATAGGACATGTACATTGAAGCTTGGAACTTTGGGCGGCTTGCAAAAATGGCATCATGGGTTTTAAGAATAAGCTCAGCTACCTGAGGTGATGATACCACAATGGTTGGAACATAGCCCAGCCTCAGTGACATGATGTGACCATATTTCTTGGCTAAGTGGGAAAGGGTTCGATGTGGGAGGTTGCCTAACATGTGGAGGTTACCAATGATTGGTAAGGTTGGAGGTCCTGGCGGCAGTTTCCGATCATTAGTTGGCCGGTATATGGAGGCTCGTAGGATGTAAATGAATGACCCAAGAAATGCAAGCAGGATAAAGAGTAAGAGAGACATGTTTGATTATGGAATCTGAGTGGAGCCAAGGAGAGATTTATCTTTTCAATTCATTGGTTTCAAAAGGATATGATCACGCCTTTTGTAGTCAAATCGTGCAACTAGTAGTTTCACTCACTGTTGTAATTGCGGCCCAAACTACCAATACACTTCGCCGGTTGGTCCCCACCTGAAAAAGAAAACAAGAAAGAAAAATAAAAAGGATAGATTAGGATAATGCCATCTTTTAGACTTTCCATTCAAATAGAAAAATAAGTGAATAAATATACTTATTTTACTTGATAGTTGGAGATATTAAAAAAAAAAATTAATGATCAAATTGAATTTTACCCAAAATTCAAGAACTTGTTTTACCGATTAACTTTCTGTATATATTGAATAAAATAATATTTTCATATATGATTTAATGAAAACTATATTTAATTTATAGTTTTTATAATTTTATCGTGGTATTTTAATTATTATATTTTAAAATTCTACACAAAAAATTAATCACTCTATTAAGTTACAAAAAGAAATTAGGATCAATTAAAGAAGTGAGAATAAGGTCATCCAATAAAATATGACATCAAATAGCAGAATTTCTCAAGGCTTTTTTTTTTAAGATATTTTTATTAGGTAATATACATACATCACACACACACACACACACACACACACACACACACATATATATATATATATATATATATATAGTGTAACTCATAATTAATAAAAAAACAAAAACAAAATAAAGCAAAATGTGATTGATCGGTGTAAATTGGCAACCCAAAATTGAAATAGCAATTTATTTATTTATTATTGGGGCTACAAGTGGTCAAATAAATTGGCAACCCGAAGCTAGAGGGGTAATGGATCATGCTCTGTTATAGGTTTGACTATATCATTTTCATTTATTTATTATTTAATGAAGAGTTTAAAAAGTAGTTGCAACTTGCATTTTTAAATAATAATAATATGACTTTTGCAACTATGCTCGACTTTATCGCCTCTAATTGACAAGGCACATTGAAACTCGGTGTCATGGTAACCTCCGATCTCCGACCCCCAACTAGATTTAATTTATTTATAGTCTCGAAAACATAGATTACATCTATTCCAAAAATGAGCAAGAAAAATTCTTTTAGGAGCTCTCAGTTGAGCGCTGCCATTCTGTCGAAGTATGGTAAAGACAAATAAATGACTAGTTACAACTTTCATTTTCCAATGAAGGTTAACACCCTTACGTCTTCTTGTATGATAAATTAATTTTTTAATCTATTTTTTTTAAAAAAAATCTAAGTTATCGTTATATTTTAAGATCGTTTTTAATTTATTTATTTTTTTATCAAAATTTTTAATTAATTTTCAAAAAATAATATTTATATTAGTATATATAGATCATTTGTGCCAAATAACAAAATTAATTTTGTTATATCACATGCCGTATATAAATTACATGCTTATTTTGATAATCATATTCATAAGTGTTGGAATTGTGTCATTTGAATGGTCAAGAGTTTTTTAATATTGATTTGGTATTCTAATTTAGTATTATTGAGTTGAAAATTCCACTAATCACATAATAAAATGAAAAAAAAATTCTATGTTTATATAGAATAGTGGAATTTTTATCACAATAAAATTTATTTTTAATTTTATAGTTATTTTTGTCTTATTTGTAAGTGTTTAATTGATTGGATTTTATAACTCAATAATAATGGAGTTGTTAATGCTAAACTCGTGTAGAATTTTTGGTGGATGAGATGATGGAGTTCTTAAGTTTAGCAAAAAAAATCATGTCGTCATAAACTATAGTCGTAATCAAATTCCGACTTTTTTTTTAATAAAAAAAAAATTGAGTGGAGGGCGGACTTCCATGCAAGAGAGAAGGGCGGTTTCCTCCCTTTTCAAATTATTCACAATAATCCTTAATAGTTTTGCGAGCTCAAATTACACCTTCCTTTAATTAGACATTTCCCCTAATGCTTCTTTAAAATTATCCATCAAGTCCGAACTTGTTGTACTTGTCGCTGACATATAAAATTGTATTTTTAAAATAATTGATTATGAAATTATCGTTTAAATGCACTATTTGAGATTACATCAATATAACTTTTCATCGAATACCGATTCTAATACAAAATTACTCTTTAGAACAATATTATTTTGCAAAATAATACTAAACACGAGTAGCACTTTTTTTGGTCCTCGAGACAAGAGATCCTTAGGGCAAGCTTTCTCACATTCAAAATTAAGTCTCCTAATTAGATCTTGAACAAATCATCCTATATTTACGAAACAAAATCGTAATAATAATAATATTTTATGGCCTCTTTTGAATTAGAAGCCTAGATGATAAAATTAAGAATTAATTTTTAACTTAATCTTTGTAATTTTAGTAAAATAATTAGTTAATCCTTTGTTTTAGAAAACCAAATATTAAATCCTTATATCTCATAGTTGTTTGTAACTTAGTCATTTTTGTTGTTTTTTCATAACAATTTAATTGTTTTTTTTCCTTCCTTAAGTGTCATTGATTACTTACAATATACAAATTGAAAAAGAATTTAAAAGGGTAATTTATAAATTGGTTAAATGGGTCAAACCTTTTATGAACTTTAGTATATTTGAAAATCAATCAATGAACTTTTAATTTTGGGTTTGACCTTCCTTAAACTTTTTTTTAGCTTTAGTCCATCCTTTAGGTTTTTTTTTTCCAAAAAAAAAAAAAACGATCACATAAATAGCCACATGATAGAAATCATTTAGTACGATTTATCTACTACTCTCTAAAAATTTGAAATCATTTTAGAATATTTTTTATTTTCTTTATTTTTTTAATGTTAATAAAATAAATAGAAATACTTCTCAACTTAAAAAATTTCCAGTGTTTCGCTCATGGCAACTCTACCAATAAGCATATATGGCTTTTGTGGAAGGATCATTTTTCAAAATCTGTACAAGAGGTTTGTTCTCAATCCATCACAATGAATGTTAAGGATAATATATCTAACTCACACTTCTCTCTTTCAGTTGTATATGCTAGTTGTAATAGGAGTGAAAGATGTTGTTTATGGGATCACCCATATGCCCTTAACATTAATCAACATTGGGTGATTGGTGTTGACTTTAATGTAGTAGCGGACCTATTGAAAATGGTTGGAGGCAACCAACATGGTCTTGGATCCATGTTTGATTTCAATTATGGTATACGAGTTACTCGCTATTCAAGATGTAAGCTTTACGGGAAGTAGGTTTACTTGGTGTAACAACTAAGATGGCATGTCTAGATAGGGTCTTGGTCAATCAATCTTTCCTTGCTTCCCTTCCTAAATTAGTGTGTCACCATCTAGGTAGATTCTATTCAAATCATTGCCCTTCGTTGTAATCATTTGCCACAATTTCAACTAAACCTACAAGATTTGCATTCAAAAGGATATGGACTTCTCATAATGATTTTGCTCCTTTTGTTCATAGTAATTGGCATTCCATATACAACGGTTCTCCCTTCCTCAATCCCTATCTTAAATTGAAAGCTCTTATGGGGGATTAAAGAAATGGAACTAAAGTGCATTTGGGGATCTTAATGTAAAGATCAACAAGGCAAGAGATGAGTTTCTTCAAGCTGAGTTATTACTATAAAATAATGGGACCGAGGATAATTTCATGACGATAGTTGTTACTGGGGATTATTTATTATTACTTGTGGAACATAAGGAACATATGCTTTAGGAGAAAGCCATAATCAAATGGCTAGTAAATGGGGATCGAAACTCTACTTTTTTACAAGCTAGCATTCATAATAGAGTTATAAAGGCCAAGTTTTCTCTCATATTAAAGGATGGCACGATTTGTTCGGATGAGTCTATCATTAGCACTGCTATGGTTAACTATTTTTAAAGGAATTTTATCGGTGAATAGATCGCCTTAGAGGATTCTTTTCCGGATATCATTCCCTTTATCCTTATAACTTTCCATAACAATACTCGATAGCCATATCCTTTGTAGAGGAGATCAAGGTTATTGTTTTTTTAATGGATGAGCTTAGTGCACTTGGTCCCGATAGGTTTATCGATGTGTTTTATAAGTCTTCATTGGACCATCATAGGCGGTGATGTGGCGAGGGCCATCCAGTCGCCTTTCAAGTCGGTTATATTCGAAGGGGTAACTACCACAATAATGGTTTTGATTCCTAAATGTACACGCCCAATAAACATCTCCGACTTAAGACCCATAAGTCTATACAACTTTTCTTACAAAATTCTCTCCTATATACTAGCTTTATGATTAAGCACGGTGTTGCCAATCATTATTTTGTGAGAGCGATCTGGTTTTATTAAAAGGAGGGCAATTCGTGAAAGTATTACTCTAGCTTAGGAACTAATGTATGATATAGACAGAAAATTTATTAAGGGGAACATAATATTACAAGTAGACATGGCCAAGGCTTATGATAGGCTGGAATGGTGCTTTCTCTTGAAAGTTATGCAGAGATTTAGCTTTTCGGAGCAATGTTGTGATCTGATTTGTAGGTGTTTGAGCAACTACCGGCACTCTCCGATCCTCAATTTAAGCTCCTATGGCTTCTTCAAATCTTCATATGGGTTAAGACAATATGACCCTTTGTCCTTAGCCTTGTTCATCATCGCACATGAGGTTTTCAGCAAACATCTAAATGATCAAGTACACAAAGGGTAAATTCTTTCTTACTACACTCGGACGTCATAACCTACATGTGTCTTATTTACTTTTTGAAGATGATATGTTGTTATTCTATAATTGAGAGAAATGAAACATTGACATAATATTAGCTTCGCTAAAAGCATATATAAGCAATCGAGTGGTCAAGCTATCAATTATCATAAGAGCTCATTACTTGTATAGTTCTAAGTTATCCATCCATAGGAAGCTACCGCTTGTGAACTAGATAAGTTTTAACATGGTCACTAATAAGATTTTTTACTTAGGCATGCCACTTTTCAAAGGCGGATCATAGGTAGAATTCTTTGTCCACTTAG